CCCCAAAACCCCAAAACCCCAAAACCCCTATCACTATTATTAGAGTCAGTAGATGGAAATGATAATTATTATTCAGATTTAAACAAATATAAATGGATTCTCATCTAGCCTCAAACATTGATAAATTATTTACTTTTCAATATGATCCTTTGAAACAAATGCTAGTCATGATTGTTCAAAACTTGCAAGAGCACAAAGACATCATTGAGAAGCTATGTAACCCTGGTATGAATGGTTATTATGGAATGGATGGATATAACGATTTTTACTATTAGCCAGAAGACCTGGCTATTGATGAAAATGGTATTACTGCAATTTAAGCATCTTAAAGTGATAGAGAAGGTCATAATCTTCTTGAGAAAGTAGATGAATTTTACGATAATCTGCCTTCTAGAGAAAATAATGAAGGTCGTAGATAATCATTTAGAGATGATTTATTAGGTGATATAAACTCAAGGGGCCCAATGAAAGTGCTAGAAGATCTATCTAGCAGAGAAATAGTTTAACATTTAGATGGACATTAAAACCCGAATGGGATATTAGAGCCAGGTCATAGTCACTAAGAAAACAGGGCTCATAGAACGAATGAAAACGGCTAAATTATATTTAAGCCTAACCTCGGAAATTAGAGGAGATTATAACCTCCAAATGTACTTTAAATGAGACCAAGAGTTCCACATATCAATTTTAATTAGCATCCTGGTTTGAAAGCCAATGATGTTACTCTTAATCTAAATACCCCTCAGGACGGAGTAACTAATTCAAAATAAAACCCTTCATAAATAGCTAATTAATAAGATCTGATGAGAAAAATTGAGTTTATGGATAATAGGCTGCAACAGCATGAATCTTTGATTTAATAACTGAGAAATTAAGTTAAAGCTGATCCTATTAAAGAAAAGTAACTGGAGTAAGAAAAAAGGGAATAAAAAGAAAAAATTAATGGATTAGCAATTAGAATTCACTTTATTGAAAATTATACCTAGTTCCTTAGAGATGATTAAGAAATGTTAAATAATGTGTTGGATTCACCTTAGAAGTCGAATTCTGGAGCATCTGAGAGGAAAACTAATGAGGGAGATGATAAAGATTAAACTTAGGAGTAACATCATCCCAATTAACAATTGCCATTAATGAAAGGATCAGATGACTAGTAAAGCACAATATAAATGCTCTAAAACTTATTAATGAGAACTCGAAAAGATATTTAAGATAAATTTGATACTCAACTGAGAAATTAAGAGCAAAGAGTTATGTCATAAGTTGAGGCGTTACAAAATTGGCTTTAGCAAAGTCATATGATGGGTGATGAAGGGTATGAAGAAGAAGGAAATAATACTAAACTATAAAATCAAAATTCAGGTTTTGATAACTCCTAGGAGAATGTGGTATAATCCCTAAATACTTCTCAAGCTCAAATTGATCCAAATATTTCCTATAATGACTAAAAGGTAACAATCTTAAATCAGAGTACTTAAAACGCCACTAAAAATACTACAAGTGGTACGATTCTACCTGGATAGACGAACCTTCAAGTTCCAAGAGGATAGAATGTAGCTTAAACATCTTAATTTAGATTGAGGGTGCCACCAAAGTAACTTAATGACATTAAGGATCTCTAGAAAAAAGCTGAAAAATTTGATGCATAAATTTATGAACTTTTTGAGAGGCATAACATTAATGATAAAATTGTTGGTCGCATCAATGATTACTATGAAACCAATCTTAAAGTAGTATCTGTTAGAGGACTAGGAGAACAGATCAAGGAATTCGAAAAGCAACTAGAAAATAAAGCGAATATACTTGACGTCAAGAAATTAGTCTCATCAATTCGTATATTTTATCTATTTTTATCAGTTTTAGATGAGTGCAACGATAAATTCAATTGGCTCGAAGAAAGATACAAAGAAGAGCGCAAGGATTAGGAAATGATTAATCAAAATAATCAACTAGCAATGAAAAATATGTCTTAAAGAGTAATTACTACAAGGATTTTAATTATTTTAGGCTGGAAATTTCTATGAAAAAGTTCATTAAATTGATAGGGAATTAGCAGAAGTTTAATTAGCTATGAAGAAGTCTGACTCAAATAATTGGATGAATGGAATAGGAGGACCTAGCGGAATTTCATCGTAATCTGACTAAATTGAGGAGCTATAAAATGCAATGAATAGAAAGTTTTCAGAATATGCAGCGAAATTTAAGACTTTCGAAGAAGAATTACAAACCTAAATTTATAGTGTCAAGGATATATTGAAACAGAAGTTATCCTAATCTCAACTTCTAGAGTCAGAAGAAAGAACCCAAGGATTGATGGATAAGATAATCGCAAATATTAATAAGCGATTTATGGATAGGAAAGAAACTAAAAAGACTTTGAAATAGTTTGAATAGTAACTTGAGCATCTATTAGAACTTGTTGTTCATAAAGTAGATGAATTTGAAGTAAATGAGGCAATGTTAGCTAAAAAACCCCTTGGAGGTTGGTCATGTGCTTCTTGCTAAAAGAATATTTAGAATTTAAGTGGCCACTTAGCTGATTACTAAGTAACTCATAAACTACCAGGTAGAGAATCAGGAGAGCATCTTAGAGCTAGTCACAAGCTTCCCTAAGGGTTATAGAAATTAGTTTAAAACTATGGCATATCTAATAAGACATCCATTAATAATCCGTTCTAGAATAACATCAACATCGATATTAAAGATAATGCTGCTGAAAACTAAAGCTTCAAAGGAAAGAATAGATACAAAGGCATGCTGATCAATTTAATGACTAGCCCTAACGGTAGCTTGTCTCCAGAAAGAATAGATTTAGTTAATAAAGATGAAAAATTGTTAAAATCTGAATTATCCTCAATTCATTAGCACTAAAGCCAGCCAGTTAACTATTTACTCAAGCCAAAACTGAAAACCGTCAAGCATCACATGCAACACTCTTTATCTTAGAAAAGATTTGGAGATACTCTTGAAATTTACAAAGATCTCTAAATTGATAATGTAAGCAAGCAGTCATAGTTAAGAGATCAACAGCATTTAGGATAAATTTATTCTCCAAGCTCATTACCAGCCTTAAATAACAAAAACTTATGATTAAAAAATAACTTTTATTATCCATAAATTTAATTAATACAAGTTGATTTAAGTACAAGGGGTTTTGGGGTTTTGGGGTTTTGGGG